CCTGTTGTTCTGTCTTTCAAGGAGTATCTTCTGGTCTTCTAGCCACTCCAGACTGGTCTGCTTGTCTTTCAAGTGGGAATTTCCCACCTCAGAAGATTCTGGATGGGGTTCAGGATTTCACCTATGGTCTTATGCAATGCAAAGCCTCCACAGAAAGCCTCTTTCACTGGGCATGTTGTATCCCCATTTTAGGTATTCCAATCAGTTATAGAACAAAAGACGAACTTACAAGCTTTCTATAGTGATATTTCTGGATATTCATTTCTTGCCCCCTCAAATGTCTATTTTATAATGGTATGCAAGGGAAACCAAGATTCAAGATAGCCAAATATCTCAACATTATTTGCCCCCTTTTGCCCATTCCAACAACGTCACAATCCCTGTATCCCAGAGCCCTGTTGTTCCAAGGTCGTGCATACATCATTATTACCTCTGTCCCAGTAAGCCCATGCAAACCTGTCTGTTTTCCCATCAGCCTTGTTCCTCCATTCCTCTCCCTCTTCTTGTGTACTGCCCCCCTCCCCAACACTCAAACTATCCTGTATCCATTCCATACCCTGTGCTCCACTTTCTCCTCCCTCCCCTCACCACACCTCACGCATCCCGGTAACCAGCAAAGAATCCCCCCACTTTAGTAAGGGTTCTTTGTTAGTCTTTTACAATAGTGGTCCTATGCAGTATTTCTCCTTTTGTGATTAACTGATTTCACTCCACATAATGTACTCAAGATTCATCCATGTTATGTGGTAGCTTACAGCTTTCCTTGTTGTTCTTCAAGGTAGCATGATATTCCATTTTGTGTATGGACCACAGTTTGTTTATCCATTTCTCAGTTACTGGGCACTTAGGCTGTCTCCATCTTTTTGCTATTGTAAATAGTGCTGCTATGAGCATTGGTGTGCATATATCTACTCATGTTATAACTCGTATGTTTTGTGGGTAAATACCAAGTAGAGGGGTTGTCGGATCCTAAGGTATATCTATTTCCAACCATCTGAGGAAGCGCCATATTACTTTCCAGAGTGGCTGGACCATTTTGCAATCCTACCAGTAATGCAGGAGCATCCCAATCTCTCCTCGTCCTTGCCAGCATTTATTGTCCTCTACTTTTTTGATCTTTGCTGTAATTGTTGGTGTGAGATGATATCTCATTGTTGTTTTGATTTGCATCTTTCTAATGGCTAGTGATCCTGAACAGTTCTTCATGTTTGTTGGCAGCCCGCATCTCCTCCTTGGTGAAGTGTCTGCTCATGTCCTGTATCAATTTTTAAATTGGG